GGGCAGACAGACAATGAGCAAGACTGAGCAGGGTGCTAAGTGCAAGAACCACAGACCCACAGCCTGGAAAGGGGCCTAGGGGCTGGGGGAGGGGAAGGGGGTGTCAAAGGCAATTTAGACAGCTGCCACCTGGGGAGCGACCCCTACTACAGGCCAGGCTAGAGGCTCCACATCACCTGACCCTTGGGACAATGCTTTGAGGTGGGTGTTATCATTCTTTTCGTTGTGCAGAGGAGGAAACTGAGGCATAGGCAGGTAAGTTTCTGGCCCCGGGTCACAGACAGGTTCTGATCCAGGTCATATGGCTGCAGAGTCCATGCTGGAAGCCACCATGCTTACGGGATGTGGCACAAAGCAGAGACTCAGGGAGTACTGGCCGCCTCGGATCAGATGGGGCGAGAAGGGGCGAACCGGCCCCTAGTGGGGGTCCTTGGTGGAGCTTGTTGGTCCTATCTCTGCCTCTTCTTTCTTCTCCGAGATCCTCTGCTTCCCCTCTGGCCTCATCCTGACTCTTGGCCCGGGGCTCCTCGTGCAGATGCACCCTCAGGACACACCCAGCCTGGAGCTCTGGGGTGCGGGGACGTCTCCACCACCCACCCCGCTCTTGTGCCCAGCCCCTTGCTCCGCCCGTGGGGGATGAACAGATTCACAACTTTTTTGCACTTTTGCTGGGCTGGCAGAGGGCGTGGGGAGGCTGACTCTCATGGGCTGCCAACAAGGACATGGTGGGGCCACATGAGAGCCCCAGCCCGACTCTTGTTCCTCTCTAAGTCCCCCCTCTAAGCTACCTCAGGACCCTCTATTTTGCAGTTAAGGAAAGCCCCGGAGGCCTGGCCGAGGGCTCAGAACACCCATGAGGCCTCAAGCTGCAGCTCCCAGCCAGGAAGTGCAGGTGAGACACCACGTTCTGGAAGGCTGAGCCTCTGGCAGGACTCCGAGGCCGTGACAAAGCCCTTCCTCCCTGCTCTGCCTCTGCACAGGCAGCACAGGTCATCCCAGAGCCCCCACCTGCCTCCCTGGGGGGCTGCAGTGGGACTGCCAGGAGAGGAACCGGGAAGTGTATGAGTCGGTATATGTAAAGCTATGCTGCCACGACAGATAGGCCCTCAAATCTCAGAGCTTATTGTATAAACAATAACGGCTTATTGTTTATATGTGTCACAGTCCAGCTCCCTGCCACCTGCAGCAGATGGCTCCAAGGCCTTCGGAGCAAGGAAAATGAGCTAGCTGTTACAAGGGATGCTTTTAGGGGCCAGGGCAGGCCTAGGGTGGCGCCATTCCCTCCACCAATGTTCCACTAGCCAGAACTCAATCCTGGCCCCTCCTCATTGCAGAGGAAGCCGGGTGGAGGGAGAGGAGGCGGGGCAAGCACTGGACAGGGTCCTGCGTGACTGGCGTGACTGGCGAGGGAGTGACATATACTCTCTTGGCAACCGAGACCCCATCTTGTTCAATAACAAGCTCCTCAGAGACCGGCTCAGCCCTCCCCCGCCCCTGACGGAATGCACGCTCTCCAGCTCAGCACTGAGAGCCACAATCAACGCAGACACGTTTACAGCCCTGATGCCCCCTCCACCCACCTCTTCCCCTCCTGGCACTTAGTATAAGATCACAATCACTGAGGCGAAGGGGCTGAAAGGTTTGCACTGAGTAGCCGCGCTCACTTCCTCTCTGTGTCATAATTGCTGATTTATAATTTATACTCTCAGCTATCTCTAAAGGGGATTGCTCTAGCACTAAAAGATCGGAAACCATTTAGGGATTAAGAGTGCACTAGATGTACTAGAAAGTTGAAATGAACATTTATTATAGTGGAATAATTCAGGAATATATAATACAATCATATAATAAATTACACTTATGACAGCTGAATAATACATTTCAATCTGAGCTTCCTAGCTGTAGAGGCAAAAAGGGAAACAACTATTTCCTCCATATATTCATTCTTTCCCACACAAAGACCACCCTCAATCTTCAGATATCCATATACCCCGTATAAGGAAAGAACAGCGTAAAGTTAAATGGCTACAGGATTAGTATGAGGGAAGTTTCAGCCTAAAGAATTGAGCCTACACTCCTACATCATCTCTTGGCTCGTTCACAGATGGAGCAGAGGCTAGAACTCCAAGGCCAGAGACAGTCTTGATCCCATACAGTGAGACGTCAAGGCCATGGTTCAGTGAGTACCCCGGAACTGCATCTGGGAGGCAGACCCCTTTCCCGATGGCTCCTACATTAATTCAGTGAATCCCCAGGGCAACCCTGCAAGAGAGGCCTTGCCATCTCCAATTTGCAGATGGGGAAACTGAGGCCAAGAAGGGGAAATGGTTTGTGCAAGGTTGCCCAGCTCCCTTTCCCTGAAGATCCAGCCTCAGGGCAGGAGCCCCCCAGGCTGTGGGTGAGATGCTCAGAGCTCTGAGTCAGGGAGGAGATGGGCTTCCAGGCAGGCCCCAGCTTGGTCCGGAAGGATCAGAAGATGGGAGAATGGCTTTCCGCCCCCTCCAGTTGCCATGGCAACAGGGCCTCCATTCTGGGGCGTTTGTTGGATATTTGCATTTTAATGGAGATGTAATTAGCATGAAAGGGCTGAGGCTGGAAGGGACAGAACTCTCCCCATTCCCTCTCTACCCCCTGGGAGCCAGAACCCCCCACCACAGAGCCCACTGAGGCCCAGAACCAGCCCACTCCCTGCTCTCTCCCCACCAAAGTCCTCTAGTGACACCTGCTCCCCCACAGCACTCCGACCCCACCTGCGCGGCAGTGTCTGTCCCCACTGCCCAGATGGAAATACTGAGGCCCAGAGCAGAGATCTGGATCTCTGGATCCAGAGATCTAGATTATTCAGGATCTCATGATGAGAGGCCAGGCATGGGCTCACGCCTGTAGTCCCAGCTACTTGGGAGGCTGAGGCAGGAGGATCACTTGAGCTCAGGGCTTTGTTTGAGGTTGCAGTGAGCTATGAAGACACCACTACACTGCAGCCCAGGTGACAGAGGAGACCCTGTCTCAAAATAATAATAATAATAATAATAATCTTACATGAGGGCAAGTCCCCAAAGCCTGGGCTCCATCCACTCTGCCAGCGTCCCTACTGGAGAGTTTATCAGGTACAAGCTGGCTCAGGAGCAGGGTGTTTGCTTACTGGGTGCCCCCCAAGAACTCCCCCAAGTCTTCCAAGCTCACTCCTTCCTCTCCCTGTACCTTCGCAACATCTCTGTGGCCCTGAGGGCCTGGCTGGACTGGGGACTTGCCCCATCTTACCCCAGAGAGGGAAGGGACATGCCCAAGGTCACGCAGCAACTCAGTGGCAGAGCTGTCTCTGGCGGGTCAGGGTTGAGGCATTAAGAAGATCCCACCTTTGACCCCACCCAAGGTCACTGTCTGACCCCAGATCTTCATGGAGAATTTCCAGCAACTTCTTCTTGTGTCTTTATTATGTTCTTAAAATCAGTCATACGTGACCACAGGCTGTGTTCGTGGCGGGAGAGAGAAAAATTAATTTATATAAAAAATGAAAATCTGTCGGGCCAGCCATTTGACCTTTTCAAATCACTGAAAAGAAGCCACTGTGCCTGTGCGTGGGCCCCCAGATGAGGCTGCTGTCCCCGGGGCCTGCCGCTGTCTGTGTGCAGCATCCTGAACCCCGCAAACCCTGGGGTCCCACACCGGCCGACGGAGCCCCTGGTTCACCCGAAAGCCCACCGCCCACACGCAGCCTGGCTCCTGGGACACGGAGGTGGCTGTTGAATGGCGAGATGATTAAGTGCCAGGGGCCAGCTGGGCACATTCCATGCCACCTTGCACCGCACCCTGCGCCTGACCACGAGCGAGGCCCCTCCAGCCCCCACCTCAAAGCTCAGAGATGGCGGTGACCTCCCAGGTCACACGGCCGGTAGCACGAAGGCTGCGTTTGAGCGCAGCCCGGCGGACCCCAAGCTCTCGAGCATTACCCTCTGTGGCCTCCAGCCTACCCACGTCTGATCACAGGGCACGGAAATCCCGTGGCCACAGACACGTGCATGTCACCCTCACAGACATGGGCACAGGTCCCACCGCCACCCCGCCGGACCACATAGCAAGCACTTATTTACAAACATATAGCGCTTATTCTGTGCCCAGTGGTAATTCAGAGCGCCTTGCACCCAATCCCTGCAGCAGCCCTGTGAGGTAGAGATTATTATAGTCAACTCACAAATGAGAAAACTGAGGCACAGAGAGGTTATATGATTTTCCCAAGGTCACACAGCTAGTGTGAGTGGAAAAGCAAGAATTTACACTTGTGCGGCCTAGCTCTGGAGCTCGTGTTCCCCCCAGACCTCAGGACCCAGGAGCCAGGAGCTCTGCGCCCCAACCCTCAGCCCTGGGCGGAGGGCTGGACAGCACTTGTCACAGCCCAATCGCCAAGGAGGAAACGGGCCAGGAAGGGAGGCGGCGTGCTGCGGGCACACAGCTGTGTGAGCCGTGGCCCTGTGGCACCCAGGGCACCTGTGTCGGCCCCGGACCACTGGGACCCCCAGCACTGCCCAAGACGGGACATCTCCCGTCCCTAGCGTCTCCTCCCCCACCCAGAGGCCACTGGCCTGGGAAGCGCTGAGGAGGAGAGGCAGCGCGGAGCACCCGGGGAGCACCA